GTAACTGTTAGCATTTGCAGCCTGATGTTTACGGTCTGTAGTTTTCGCCTGCAAACCATTTCATTTCATAATTTTTAGGATAAATTACAGAAGCCTACCCAAGGTAACCACTAGAATAAAAACATCTCTGTGTTTATCAGTTGATAAAAAAATCCACCAAAGTTTATATGATTGAGTCAGACTGACTTGCTTCCAAAGTTAATGATGCATTTTATTACTCTTTGGATTTCTACCCTCATCTTTCTCCTTATTACTTTGTATCATTTATAGTTATGCTTTACATATTATTTGATTTAGACCTAAAACTGGAAGTCTAACCCTATGTTACTCTCCTTGTTCATCTGCACTTTTCTCCTTATAAAGAATAAGGTAAATGAAAACTATAAAAAAAACTTACTAAATTAAAATATTATTTTCAAAATTCCACCATCCAACTCAATCCCATTGTTGAATTTTAAGAAAAACATAATACAAAAATCTAAGACTTGATACCATGAATTGTAGAAATGATTATATAACTTATAAAAAAGCAAAGAAATTTTTAAATAGAAAAATAGGCATAATTCTTCTTAATATCAGAGGCATATCAGCCATGTAGATAATTTGGCAAGAGCGTTAATAGGAGGTTTTTAATCAACTAACTAATACATACATATTTTCTGATTTTAGTGATCATTTTGAGGGCTCAAAATAAGATATCGAAATTACATAAAAATGATAAACACAAACTCTAAATAATAGAAATAAGGAGGAAGTGAGGTTATTTTTGTCAACTATGTCACAAATTGCATCATTAATTAAAGAGGGAGTGCATGTGATTCAGTCGTGTAAATTTAGAGGGTTTTGTCCATTAAGTAATAATTATAAGGAGCTTTTATGATTCTTGTGATTATTTCTTTAAGTTTACCCTAATTTTTATCTTAATAAAACAAGCATGAGAATGTGTAAATGTATGATACATTTTCCTTTGGTAATATGTTCCTACCTCTGACAGGCTCACCCGGAAGAATTAGGGGCACTGATTGAAATTCTTAAGAGCGGAATGGTTACAAGTGCATCAGGATCACAATACAAACTTCAAGATGATGCAAAATGTGACACTTTAGGGTCACTATGGCGTATTCTCGGGGCAAATACTTCATCACAGAGAGTTTTTGGAGAAGCAACTGGATTTTCCCTTTTATTGACATGTTTACATAATATCCAGAGTGGAACTGAAGGCCTTGATCCTCAATCTTGTTTAATTGCTAATATCAAATTATTTAGTTATCTATTGCGTGTTGTGACAGCTGGAGTGTGCAATAATCCCATTAACAGATTGCGCCTGCATGCAATAATGTCATCACAAGCCTTCTATGATCTTCTTTGTGAGTCCGGTTTTCTCTGTGTGGACTGCGAGAAGCAAGTTATTCAGTTGTTTTTGGAGCTAGCACTTGAAATTGTTGTTTCTCCATCAAGCGTGGTGCAAGGAAGTGTTTCATTATCTGATACTTTTGAGGATGAGTCAAGTTTTCTTTCTAGTGCACCACTTGGAGCATTGAAGCCTGAAAGGGAGCGGGTGTATAATGCTAGTTCTGTTGGAGTATTGATCCGCTCCTTACTACTCTTTACTCCAAAAGTGCAGCTAGATCTATTGAAGTTCATTGAGAAACTTGTACATGGTGGCCCCTTCAATCAGGAAAACCTAACTTCTGTAGGTAAGAGAAACTCCAGGTACTTTCTGTAACTTCCTGCATAGCAATATTCTCATTTGGTTTTGGGCATGATTTAGGTTGCATTGGACTACTCCTGGAGACAATTAACCCATTTTTGGCTGGTTCATCTCCATTGCTCGTGCATGCTTTGCGTATCGTGGAGGTTCTTGGTGCTTACAGGTTGGTACCCAGTTCTTTCATTTGCTTAGTGTTTTCTAGCTCAACTTGTGACGAAATAATATGCTCCTGGTAACAGGCTTTCGTCTTCAGAGCTTCGACTACTTGTAAGATACATTCTTCAGATGAAAGCAAAAAGTTCAGGACATCTTCTTGTTGATATGATGGAGAACTTAATTCAAATGGAAGACATGCGTTCAGAGAATGTTGCACTGGCTCCTTTTATCGAGATGGACATGAGCAGAATTGGTCATGCTTCTGTTCAGGTATCCTTAGGGGAAAGAACGTGGCCTCCTGTGGCTGGGTACTCCTTTGTTTGTTGGTTTCAGTATCACAATTTCTTAAAAAATCAAGCTAAAGAGTCAGAATCCCTGAAGACTGTATCTTCCAGAAGGTCGACCTCCAGCGGACATGTGTTGCGTATATTTTCGGTTGGAGCAGTTGATGATCCAAACACGTTGTATGCTGAAATTTATCTGCAGGACAATGGTGTCATAACCCTTTCAACAAGTAACAATTCTTCTTTGTCATTTCCTAGTATAGAAATGGAGGAAGGAAGGTGGCATCATCTTGCTGTTGTTCACAGCAAACCTAATGCATTAGCTGGACTCTTCCAAGCCAGTGTAGCATATGTTTATGTTAATGGAAAGTTAAGGCACACAGGAAAGCTAGGTTATTCTCCTTCTCCAGTTGGCAAGTCGCTGCAAGTTACTCTAGGTACACCAGTTACACGTGCAAAAATCACTGACTTGTCATGGAGGGTACGCTGTTGCTATCTTTTTGAGGAGGTACTCACGTCCGGAAGCATTTGTTTCATGTATATCCTTGGTCGAGGATATAGAGGGCTATTTCAAGATACAGATCTTCTGAGATTTGTTCCAAACCAGGCTTGTGGTGGTGGGAGTATGGCAATCTTAGATTCATTGGATGTTGAATCATCTGTGGTGTCAAATCCACAGAGATCTGATATTAGTGGTAAACAAGGGATTCCCAAGGTAGATGGCAGTGGGATTGTTTGGGATTTGGAAAGATTGTCCAGCCTCTCTTTGCAGCTATGTGGAAAGAAGCTCATTTTTGCATTTGACGGGACATCCTCTGAAGCATTTAGGTCATCCGGCACGTTATCTATGCTCAATCTTGTAGATCCTCTGTCAGCGGCTGCATCCCCCATTGGTGGTGAGTCCACCGTTGACACTGTTGTAGGTGATTTTTAATTAACTCACAGTTTTTCAAAGATGCAAGATTAATGCTTATTTCTCTTGCCTACAGGTATCCCCCGTTTTGGCCGTCTTAATGGAGATATTTATATCTGCAACCAGCGTGTTATTGGAGACAGTATACGCACAGTTGGTGGGATGGCTGTTGTTCTTGCTCTTGTTGAGGCTGCTGAAACTCGTGATATGCTGCAGATGGCATTGGAGTTACTTGCTTGCGCATTAGATCAGAGTCCTCACAATGTGATGCAAATGCAAGCATTACGAGGTTACCATTTGCTTGCACTCTTTCTGCATCGTCGGATGTCATTGTTTGATATGAAGTCACTTGAGACTTTCTTCCAGATTGCTGCATGCGAGGCCTCTTTTTCTGAACCACAAAAATTGCAAATAAGCAGATCTGTAGCTTTCTCTTCCGGAACTTCCCCTGAAGCTAGCTTTGAGGATCTTTCGTTGGCAAAATTTCCGGATGAAAATTTCTCCGCTGGATCACATGGAGATATGGATGATTTCTCAATACAGAAGGATTCATTCAGTCATCTTTCAGAGCTTGAGAATACAGAAGTCACAGAAGAAAATCCAAGCTGCATTGTTCTTTCAAATGCAGATATGGTTGAGCATGTCCTGTTGGACTGGACATTGTGGGTTACAGCTCCTGTTTCAATTCAAATTGCATTACTTGGCTTTCTTGAGAGGATGGTATCCATGCATTGGTACAGGAATCATAATCTGACCATCTTACGTCGGATAAACCTAGTTCAGCATTTGCTAGTGACTCTACAACGCGGGGATGTGGAAGTTCCTGTCTTAGAAAAGTTGGTAGTGTTGCTTGGTGTTATCCTGGAGGATGGTTTTTTAGTTTCTGAGTTAGAACTTGTTGTCAGGTTTGTAGTTATGACATTTGATCCTCCTGAACTGATAAATCGTTCTCAAATTGTTCGTGAGACAATGGGAAAACATGTAATTGTAAGAAACATGTTACTAGAGATGCTTATTGACCTACAGGTGACTATAAAGTCTGATGAGTTGCTTGAGCAATGGCATAAAATTGTTTCTTCCAAGCTGATCACATATTTTCTTGATGAAGCCGTGCATCCAACCAGTATGAGATGGGTCATGACTCTTCTTGGAGTCTGCCTTGCTTCTTCGCCAACATTTGTTAGCAAATTCCGCGTTAGTGGAGGTTACCAGGGGCTGATAAGGGTGCTTCCAAGCTTTTACGATTCTCCAGAAATATACTACATCCTTTTCTGTCTGATGTTTGGGAAAGCTGTCTATCCAAGGGTGCCTGAGGTTCGGATGCTGGACTTTCATGCCCTTGTGCCCAATGATGGAAATTGCGGGGAGTTGAAATTTGCGGAGCTAATAGAATCTGTGGTTGCTATGGCTAAGAATACATTTGATAGATTGAGCATGCAAGCAATGCTCGCCTACCAAAATGCTAATCCTTCCCACCTCAATGGTAGCTTAATGGCAGAACTTGCAGAAGAAACAGCAGACGTGGTAGGGGATCTTCAGGGTGAAGCTCTGATGCATAAAACTTATGCAGCACGGTTAATGGGCGGGGAAGCAGCAGCACCTGCTGCAGTCACCTCAATATTACGGTTTATGGTTGACTTGGCAAAAATGTCGCCCCCATTCTCTGCAGCGTGCAGGCGAACAGAGTTTCTGGAAAGCTGCGTGGATCTTTATTTTTCATGTGTCAGGTTTGTTGATGTATTCTATTGGCCTTTAGCATTTTCATTGCATGCACCTTGAATGCACCATTTCGATTATGTTAAGATCCAGGGAAGTTATGCCCACCTTGTGTGAATAATTTTTGTATTGATGTAGAATGTTGGTAGTTTGTTGATTCATGACACTCGAATATCTTGGATGTAGATGGCTTGTGTGCGCGCGAGTGTGCGCATGCACCTGCGGTACTGAATATGTGCTGGTAGCTTATCAGTCAAATCAGCTGCCATGAGATAGGAGTATCCATTGCTCCAATATGACTAGGAGGGGGCCTCATTTGCTTGTCTCTTCCTTGATAACTCATTTAGCGAAATGAGCTGCCATCACCTACTGATTTTTTCCTCCTCCATATATATACACGCATGTACATATACACGTGTGTTTCTCTAGATATGTATAGTATGTATATCAGTATATGTATACACATGTATACACTTGTGTGTGAGAAGTATGGTTAAATCCCTAAACACAGTTGTGGGTATTTTCAAAGTCAAACTGATATTTGGTTTCTCTCTTGTGCATGGTGTACTGCATTTTATATCGTTTCACACCAACTACTGATATTGATTCTCTTTTCTATAACAATTATTTTATTCTGTTCAGGGCTAATTTGGGGTTGAAAAGGGCAAAAGACCTCTCACCTGCAGTTCCAGATGAGAGGAACTTGAATGATGTTGATGACAATAAAAGCTCGCAAACTGCATTTTCTTGTATTCCCCAGGAGCAGGAACAGTCTGTCCAAACTTCAGTAAGTGTTGGAAGTTTCCCTCAAGAGCAGAAAAGTACTAGTTCAGAAGATATCGTAGCGCAGACAAGCTATATTTTGGGTAATAATGGTGTGAAAGAAATAGCTTTACCTCTCCAAGCATCTAGCGAGACATTGGTAGAAGAAAATGGCCAAGTTGCTCAAAATTCTGAGGAGCAAAGTCTTGGCTTGATGTCAGTTACTTCTGATAAATCTGAACAAAAAATTCATACTTCCAATGGGATACCAGATTTCAACCAAACAACGGATTCGATTAGTTCTTCCACGATGAATATTCCCACTTCTCCTGTTTTCTCTGAGAAATCGAATTCAAAAATATCAGTGACACCAAGTGCATCCCCCGTACTTGCATTGACATCTTGGCTCGGTAGCACTGGAAATAATAATGATGCAAAGGTACAGTCAACTCCTTCCATGGGTTCTTCAATGTCTATGAATGATTTTGATGCATCGCCTGATTTAAGAGCAAGTTTCCAAGGAACAGCTTCCTCAAATGTAATCTTCCCAGTTACTCCAAGCCTATTGCTTGACATTGATGATTCAGGATATGGAGGTGGTCCTTGTTCTGCTGCAGCTACTGCTGTTTTGGATTTCATTGCGGAAGTTCTCGCTGATATTATCTTGGAACAATTAAAAGCAACCCAAATAGTGGAGAGCATTCTAGAGACTGTTCCACTGTATGTGGATTCGGAATCTACTTTAGTCTTCCAGGGTTTGTGTTTAAGTAGATTGATGAACTTTCTGGAAAGGCGTCTTCTGCGTGATGATGAGGAAGATGAGAAAAAATTCGACAAGAGTCGTTGGTCCTTAAACTTAGAGAGTCTATGTTGGATGATTGTAGATCGGGTATATATGGGTTCCTTCCCTCAGCCAATTGGAGTGTTAAGAACATTAGAGTTTCTCTTGTCTATGTTACAACTTGCTAACAAAGATGGCCGTGTTGAAGAAGCAGCAGCTTGTGGGAAAGGACTTTTATCCATCACAAGGGGAAGCAAGCAACTTGAGTCATATGTTCACGCCATTCTGAAAAATACCAATCGCATGATCATGTACTGTTTCCTGCCTTCATTCCTGGTGTCTATTGGAGAGGCAGACTTTGTTTCTGGTTTGGGCTTTCAGATTGAGGGTGAGAAGGGATCGGTACCGAAAATATCACAGGATGAGTCTGCTATTGATATTTGCACAATTTTGCAGCTAATAGTTGCTAACAAGCGACTTATACTCTGCCCGAGCAATATTGATACCGACTTTGTTTGCTGTCTCTGTATAAATCTGATCTCTCTTCTCACTGATAATAGACAGTATGCTCGAAACATAGCAGTAGATATTATCAAGCATCTTCTATTGCATCGGCGGCCAGCACTTGAAGACTTGCTTGTCTCTAAACCAAATCAAGGCCCAAGTCTGGATGTTCTTCATGGGGGTTTTGATAGATTATTGACAGGAAATCCTTCTGCTTTCTTTGAATGGTTTCAGAAGTTTGAACCAAATATCATTAAGGTTTTGGAGCAATGTGCTTCAATTATGTGGGTACAATATGTTGGTGGGTCTGCAAAATTTCCTGGAGTAAGAATAAAAGGTATGGAGATCCGGAGAAAAAGAGAAATGGGCAGAAAGTTTCGAGAAGCTTCAAAATTTGACATAAAGCATTGGGAACAATTGAACGAGAGAAGGTATGCTCTTGAATTGGGTCGAGATTTAATGTCAACTGAGTTAAGAGTTATTCGTCAAGATAAATATGGGTGGGTTCTTCATGCTGAGAGCGAATGGCAGAGTCATATCCAGCAACTTATACATGAACGAGGAATCTTTCCTATTCGCAATTCTCCTACGGAACTTGAGTGGAAGCTTTGTCCCATTGAAGGGCCATACAGAATGCGTAAGAAACTAGAACGTTGCAAACTAACAGTTGACATGATTCAAAATGTTCTTACTGGAGGTTTTGAACTGGATGGAGCAAATATTGTCAGCAAAAATGTTGAGAATTCTCTAGGCACATCTGAAACTGACTCAGATTCATATTTAAACATTCTGTATGAAGGAACTAATGAAAGAAGTTTTGATGAAGGAGATTTTCCTGGGTCCTCGTTCAAAGATGATGATGGGTTCAAAGTTGAAAACCCTGGATCAGCTCAGCTTGGGTGGAACGATGATCATTGTAGCAGTATTAATGAGCCAAGTTTGCACTCTGCCCAGGAGTTTGGTGCCAAGAGCTCCTATTCGGTTCCAATGACGGAAAGCACACATGCTAGATCTGATATAGCTTCCCCAAGGCAGTCATCCTCCATGAGAGTTGATGATATGAGATTTCCAGAGGATAAGTCAGAGAAGGAATTGCATGACAATGGGGAATATCTTATAAGACCTTTTCTTGAACCATCTGAAAAAATACGTTTCAGATATAATTGTGAACGTGTTGTAGGTCTTGACAAGCATGATGGCATATTCCTCATAGGTGATCTCTGCCTCTATGTAATTGAAAACTTTTACATTGATGACTCAGGGTGCATATGTGAAAAAGAAAATGAAGATAACCTTTCTGTGATTGATCAAGCTTTGGGTGTGATAAAGGATGTGCCAGGCAGCAGTGAATGCCAAGTAAAGTCACCTTCCTGGGGCATGACAGTTAAATCGCTGGCAGGTGGAAGAGCCTGGGCATACAATGGAGGTGCATGGGGAAAGGAGATGGCCTGCAGTAGTGGTAATCTTCCTCATCCCTGGCACATGTGGAAGCTTGATAGCATTCATGAGCTTCTGAAACGTGAATATCAATTGCGTCCTGTTGCTGTTGAGATATTTAGCATGGATGGATGTAATGATCTTCTTGTTTTCCATAAAAAGGAGAGGGAAGAAGTCTTCAAAAACTTGGTTGCAATGAATCTCCCACGGAACAGCATGTATGTTCTCGGTTTACTTTATCTCTTCACATACTTTCATTGTCTACACAATTCTTGAGTTGCCACCTTTTAACTCTAGGATGGACTTTTGTAAGTTGAGGCATTACTGTTCTAGAAATGCATTTATGTTATAATATCTATCATGAAAATGGTATTGGGAAATGTATGATAGTTCATTTTGAAAGTGGTATTTGAAGTAAAACATTGGTTCTAACCTACCGAACTATATGACGACTTGTCCTAATGAGCGATCTACACCATTGATCATGATCTTCATAATATGAACTTGTATATGGAGTCATGGACTATATTTTGTCTATTTTAAAATTTTCTAGATCATTCGTCTTATTGTTGCATGATGAACTGCTACTCAATATAGAACACAAGGAACCCTTAGATGGATGGGATAAAATATGTCATAATACAGTGTGTTACCTGAAATGTTTCAGGACATGATAAATAATAATAAGAAACAACTTAGGTTTGTCTGTAAGTAACTCATTAGGTTGGGTTCAAAGATGGAAAATGTGTATCTTGAGGCTTACAGAACTAAGTAACTGAAGTTTTTCTGACCAGAAGTCCTTCATGGATGGTCAAAGTTTGCATCATCATAAATCTCTCATTGACATATTTTGCCTTTCTTGTGGCAATTAATTTACCTATATCCATTACCAAATATCTCAATATTTACCCTCTTATGACCTCATTTTTTGGTTGATGGATACTTTTTTCTTTGTTTTGGAGGGGCGTGGAGTGTTAGGGGGGGGGGCCAGGGATAACTAAGAAAGATAACCCAAGTACACTTAGCAACTATGGTTAGGTTTTGATGCTTGGGGGTCGATGGATCTTAAAATTAGTCATCCTGCATCCTTGCCTGTAAGCATGTCTACGATAAACATGACATGGAAGCTGGGCTTTCCAGCTATTTATCACATTATAATTTATAAATGTTAGGGGTTGCTTCTTGCTGTAATTAAATGTATCATGGTTTTATTTGTTAGGTTTACTATTTTGTGTCCCC